TATTGATTTATTGATTTATTGATTTATTGGTTTATGGTTTATTGGCTAATTTGGTGTTTGATTTTAAGATTAATTGGCTCATTGACTCATTGATTCAGCCATTTTGCGATTGGTCGATTCATTGGCTCATTGGTTTATTGAATTGTTCGTTGACTGACTGACTGACTCACTGACTGACTCACTGACTGACTAACTGCCTGACTGACTGATTGATTGATTGATTGATTAACGCAGTGATGATTGATTGGTTGATTGATTGATTGTTTGCTTGCTTGGTTGCTGCTTGATTGCGTGAGTGATTGTTGGGTTGGTTGACTGATGGGTTGAGCGGATTCGTTGTGTAGCTGGCTTGTCGGTTTGGCCGGCTCGCTATTTTTTTGTACACATGTCTGACCTCTTGTCCAAGAGGCACCTGATGACGGCGTTTGCTGGCTGGGTGTGCCATGCATGGGCGTCCTTCTTTCTTACTTCGGAGGCTGGAGAGTGGGCAGGAGACTTGCTGGCAGAGCCTCTTATGCTTACAAGCCTTGTTTAAATATGTGTGTATGTATGTATATGAAATATGCTTGATGTGGTTTGTTCATGTATTTACCTTATGTATATACATATATATATATATATATAGATGCTATTGATTTTCCACACTTGGAGGTGGGTCATTGAGGGTGGAGGCGGGTGTGATGACAATTACAATCATAGTAAGGTCATATATATATATATATATATACATGAGGTGGCCAGCACGAAGAAATGAGACAAAATAGTTCCTCAAGTGTATGGAAGGGACGTTCTGGTCCGCACTAGAGGCTTTGCCAGCAGCCTCCACGATCCCTGACTTGCTCGATACCATCTGCAAAGGAGCTACACGGCTGTATTTCACCGGAGCACGTCTGGGCGATTTTCGCTCATTCTCATTCCATGCACAAGAAATTGAGGAGCTCGAGCTCGAGCCGGGCCCCAAGATTACTGCTGAACGGACCCGACCAATCCGGCGTCGACCCAGCGGGCTGTTGCGCCGCCGAGCAGAAAAAAGGGAACGCGCGGTTGGACTCAGATTTTGCACCACCAGGCTGGTCTAGCCACCGAGCCATTACCGTTCCACCACCCAACTCAGAAGTGCGCAAAATCCCTTTCAAGCCTGCTGTGCATTTGGAGAAGGGCAATTCCGTGTTGAGGGTAAATGATGAGAGCATCAATTGTCTTCAATCGACATCCAAAGTTGCGCGCGCCTAAACCAGGCATGTGCAAATGTGTTCGGGGATGTTGCTTTATCGTGGACACGGCTTTGAGATTTATTTGTGGCACTTCGCAACGTTCTGTCGTGTTGGTGTTTGGCCTTTGGCGAAATCTGAATCGGCACGGCTCAAGATTTAGCTTGAAGTTCCAGTGAAGCTAACTTTGGCCTTAGCTTATGGCTACTGCCTGAGCGAGGATCCGCGATCGTGGGTGTGGTTGCATGCTTTTAGCATTCAGAGAAGCGGAGTTGGTTGTGTTCTGTCATTGCAACAGCGTGGCATCATTGCAACAGCGTGGCAAGTTGACAATGACATGTGAGTGAGGACTACTCATTGGTACAGCTCTCTATGCTGTTGTCCTTCTTTTTGTTTTGTGCCGGAATTCTGGATATGCGTCCTTTGGATTTTGCGGGCTCCCCCAGAAAAGCGTGCCTTCTCAAAAACCTGAAGACTGTGACCCTGGGAAAGCCACATGCCCAAACAGTACCTCTCGGTTTAATGGGACACCGTGCTTTCCCAGGGGTATGGTGCCGGGTCCTCTCCATTTCCCCCATGTGTTTTTCTTTGAGAAGGCATGGAATCTGGGGAAGGCTCGGGGATGGGGGTCCAGACCCTCGATTGTGTGTGTTGGCGGCAGTGTCGTCCGCCTCTTTTAAGCAGGTCCGCATTACTTGGTTTGTTCACCCTACAAGTCTTGTACTTCAGTGGATGTGTTCGGCACAGGGGATGCTAGCTATCCTGAAGTTGCAAGTCGCAAACATCTTGCATGTTTTTTCAGCTTGAACCGGCCACCACGTGGCTTGAATCTAGGAGCACGGCATTTTTGGATCCGGAGCCAAGGAAATGGATAGGGTTGATCCATATTCCGTTTGCCCCCAAATGACCAAGGGCAACCTTTCCCATTGAGTGGCTGAAAGATCATCTCTTGGTGGTTCACCAACCAATGGTCATCCCATGTTTACCGAACCTTTTGAAAAGATCAACCCCAAAACAAAAGTCTAAGGTGAGGGCCTGGCTCGAAATCAGGGCAAGAGCGCACCTGTCACAAGCTGACGGGTTGAACTCATGTCATTTTTCGAAGGGTCGAAGTAAATCTGAGGGCTCGAAATGGATTGCAGGGCCTGAGACGTACGCATCTGGAATCGATTCCATGCAGATTGTGACTTCAATATGTCGTGCTTGGTAGTTTTGATTCCCGTCCCACCAAAGAACATGGAACCCGACGAGTTCAGGTCCTGGCTTGGACCATCTTCCTTTTAAAGGGACCGCTTCCCGAACGTCCCCGGTTCCATGTGAAAAGGGCGGTCCTTGCCCAGGTCATTCCTACTGTCAGAGGGCGTGCGGCTCAGCGCACATCCGGTGCCCGGCGATATTTTCTTCAACATATGAGGTTTGCGCACATCTCTTGGTCCCGCCCATCGAGGTTCCTTGGCTTCGGTGGTGGGGGTTTCCGTTTAGCACACTAAAACTAAAAGAAACAACAAGTAGCAGAGGATCTGAGGACAGCCAAGGTTTGGCATTTGGCGCTTGGCCGAGCGCAAAAGTAAGACTTAGATGTAGAGCGACTTGGCCACTGACAAGTAGCTGGCTGAGTGGCTTGATGTGTGTGCGTGTGTGTGTGTGTGGGTGTGTGTGTGTGAGACACTTGCATGTTATGTGAGGAGAAGTAGTATTCCAATCAGAACTATGTGTTGACGAATGGAATTAGCAGCTGTGCAGGAATTTTGTGAGAGGCTTCTCCACCAGTTTACGAAACGGTGGCTCTACATTGAGAAGAATGGCAGAATGTTGCAGACTCTCCCTCCCCCAGCCCATGGTACCTTTCAAGGCTTGCCCAATCAATCCTCCAGCCAGCCCGTTTCGGCCAAGCCTGTCGGAGGCCCTATGTGTGGGCGTTTCTAGCCTTCTCCTCCGCGCTCGCCTCGGGCCTCGAAATTTCAGCGGACCGCTCGTTTCTGAAGCGAAGTGGACATGTGGATGGGAGAAGTAATTTCCTCTTCTCGCACCACGAAATGAAACCATGGGAAGGGAACCAGAACGGTTGGGTAATCGAATCAGAAACTACGGTTTCTGAACTGTTGTTCTACAACAGTGTCATCTTGGAAATCGTCCACCTAGGTATTTGAGTCATGTGCGTCAAATTCTGGCAAGCAATTGAACTGTGGGCGCATTGCGCTTATGGAGTGGCTCCTGCCAGATTTTAGGTTGCTTACGGTTGCTCGAAGGCTGGACAATGAATATTCTTGTTTGCTTGGATGGTTGCTTATGCTTGTACAAGGAGTAATGGCAATCTTTAGAAGTTCGGTACTTCATGCTTGCCATTCATTTAGCCCGACGCTTGGCTGGGTGTGCGTGGCTGGGGTGTCAGTCAAACGAATCGCAGGGTGAATGCCGGTTAGTTGTTAAACAAGTGGCCACCTCTTCCTTTGCTGGAACCCTTTGGCCCCGAACTCGGCGACGTTGAAGGGCCTTCCTTCCCAATCCACCATCACGCCCGCCGGCCCGAACCATCAAATTGCTAGAATTCCAAACCCGGAAATGAAGGAACCGAGCAAACAACCTTCATGGGCGATGCTTTTCCCCCAGAGCTCGTCAGTTGAACCCAGAAGTGTCTGCGATTTGGATACCTCCAATTTGCTCATTTGCCTATTGGTGTCCTTTGCACGTCAAGAGCACACATTCGCCTCGGACAAAATGAGCCCCGCTTCCCCATAACTGTTACCCCGGGTTTCGGGGCATTCCGGTCCCATGTTTCCGAAGTTCACTGAAGCTGTCAGTGTCTCATGGTCGCAGGTCTTGGCAATCCTTGACATGTCTTCTTCTTTCAGGATGTTAAGATTTGGCTGCGCTCAAAAGCGTAGCCGCCTTTTCGGCTGATCTTGCTGCCCAGATGCTGGCAGTGTTAAGCCATGCACAGGATAGCGGTGGGAGGCCACTCCGAGATGGTGCAAGTTCGCTCAGCACTGTGGGTCCATGTTGTTTTTTCTTTGCACAATCCTATGGCGATATATTACATAATTATCCAAAAATCTTCATTTTGGTCATTAGGCGGAAGCGTCGTGGCGTCTTTTGCTTCGTGAGGCTTTTGGTTTCAACCGATGCCAGGTGCTGCATTTACTGGAGCAGTACTTGGAATGGCGGCAGCTCCAAAAGTGAAGCGCTCAGGCACCTCCAGGGGGTTATTAAGCCAAGCATAAGGCCTTCTTAAACTAGCAGGTCGGAAGGGAGCCAAGGAGGGGATATCCAAATTTGCTTTTATTGAGAGAGCTAAGGAGCTACCAGTCCTGTAAGGACGTAAGGAATCATAGATAGTCTACCTCATCGCCCCGCCCTTAGAGGTCCATGATGCATGCATGGCTCTCGTCACAGAGGGTTGTGACATTGCTTACATAGCACAATCTATATATATAGTATGTGTATGGGTGTATATATATATATATGTATGGGCATGTACCCTGCAAGTGATGATGTTAATGTCCATTCTACAAAATATGCTGCACGAGAAAGAACACAAAAAGCATTGTCAGCGTGACAGGAGCCACTTTGCAAAGTGGAAGTCCAGGTATTGCAGCTGGCTCTGAAGTGTTTGACAGTATCCAGGGGAGTTGCAATAAGGCGTGTAGTGGAGAAGCTAGTGCCACAGAAAGGGACTAAGACTTAGGCCCTTTCAAGCACTTGGGCCTTTGTATGTCGTCGTCAAAATCAGGCGCATTTTTATTTGACTATAGACAGTCACTGGCTTTTGCAGCCAAGAGTGAATGTCTTCTTCCCTTTCCCTTGATGCAGCGGCCATGCTCATGATGTAGATGCTTTTTCTTCGCGTGACCTCGGATTGTCTTTGATACTGCAGTCAGGCGAGGTAAATACGCTAGAAAACTCTCCAGCGTGCGCACTTCCAGACGAAACGCGGCTGCATCCATGAGCTGTTCTTGTGCTTTGGGTCCGAGCGTGGACCGCAGCCAAGCCCCAGGAACAGCGAGACTGCCGTGCCCGAGGAGTTCAAAGGCTCGTTGCAGCGCGCGGTGCGCGTTGCAGTCGATGCATCTGGAAACAGATGGTCTCAGGACCTGGCTGTAGAACGCTGGAGTTCCTTGTTTCTGGTTTATGAATGTTTATGAAATATAGTTAGTTGCCAAGAGCCACGTTTCTCAGCGTGAAACGAAGTCGCAGCTTCGAGTCACCTTGCAACAATCGGCGAGCTCAGCGAGACGAGCAAATTTTAGTAATGCTTCTACACCAAACATGATTACTGTTGGCTGTGTTTGCACAGCGATGTCCACCCCCCAAGGCAGGAAACGCGTGTTCTGTCAATATTTGAATGGTGGTTTTCCAAAGTCTCGATTTGTAAGCCAGAAAACGCAGACTTCATCTCTTGCAGCACGTATTCCTTGGTAGCATCTGGATGCGAGGGGTGGTGGACGAGGCCAAGTTTCTGGAGTCGCAGGCGGGCTGCGGACTTCTTTTGGTGGTTTTTCTTGTGTCGAGCGTCGAGCAAAGCCCTCATAGTGGTGTGTGTGTGTGTGTTCGGTGTGTGTGTGTGTCTTTGGAATTGTTAGTATTTGTTTGCACATGCTTGATGTTTTTGTTTTGTTGTTTTTCTTGTTTTTTCTTTTCTGGCAAGTGCCGATTCATTCTAGCGAGCGGCAACACTACACCTCACAACACAAAATTGAACCAAGATCATTGCGCCACAGTAGCAACATATTGGCGCAATTTTGAAGGATCGGTAAAGTTAGCAGCAGATTGACACGAGGCATGTGTCAGCCATGATCCAACTTCATGCACGTGACGCATGTAGCCGCCGTTCACACTTGCCAGGCCTACCAGAAGGACAAGCGTCTCTTTGGCTTCATCAGGGATTGGATCAGCTTCTTTTTTGACAAGGCCAGTCAAATGCGTCAGCCAAAGCAAAGCGTTGCATCTCAGCACGGTGTTTTTTTTGGTGTTCTTGTGTTCTTTGGCGAGATCGATGTGGATTGTCAGGTTATCCAGTGTCTGGGGGTGGGGGAGGACTGTCGTTCAACGGACGCACCTGCTTTTCTTCTACTGTACTGCGAGCTGATGAAGCACTTAGCGTCATGGATTTGATTGCCAACGTTCCTGACGCAAGAGCTCGCACAGAGCATGCCATGCGCGAGCCACACAAAATCAATGGGTTTCCAGCCCCGCCTCCGGATTGACAGAATCACCCACACTTTACAGCGTTGTTCCCATTCTTACCAGATGTTAGAACCGCCCTGTTGGATGGGATTGCTTTTTTAAAGCAAGTTGTGAAAGGCGGTTGAAGCGCCTGTGAAAGGTGGGTGTCCCTTGGGGGTGATGTTTTAGGGGAAATATGGAGCCCTGCTCCGATGGCTTCCCTTGAAGAACGCTTGCGAAAGGGAGCGCCTGTAGATTGAAAGCGCAACAAGTTGTGGGTGTCACTCGATCAGTCGGTTGCAGAGGTCCAGCTGTTCCTCCTCACGCCCCTGCTTTGGCACTACGCGGCGCTGCACTCGGCGAGCTCTTTACACCTTGCTCCCGTTTTTGGTGTGGTTGGGATCTTGGATTTTGGTGCCAAAGTGGGGTTTTGAACCCAACTAAGCCACAACCACAACCCGGCTAGATGAAGGTTCTAGTACCAGGTTTTGACACTGACTCAACTCATCAAGGGACCCTTCAGGGTCCTTGGCTGCTTCATGGCAAAGCCATCCTGTATCCGAAAGAATGGATACAGCCTGGCGTCCGCTGGATAGCGAGGTCGAATCCGGTCCGGAGATGAATCATCGACCTGTTTCTGCATAGCCATGTCAGTGCCTCTCCTTCTGTTGTTTGGGGTGGGGGGGTGGGGGTTCATACTGTTGGATGGACGAAATCTTGCGCCGCCTAAGAACCCCTTGGAATGATGATTCTCCTGTAAATACCAACAAACAATAGTTTCCCATGGTTCTTAAATGGGGCAGGATTTCGTCCATCCACAGTAATTGAATCATGTAAGACTCAAAGAGTGGTGTCTTGACTTGCGGCATGTTGTTGTTTCGGACTGCATGATGCTGCCTTCTCCATCTGAGGTGAGTGTCTTTGGCGAGGAGGCGCTGTAGATCTCGGACCGTGGGTGTGATGCTGTGACTTTGTCAACGGATGTTTCACGAATATGCCGCGTGTTGTTGCGCTATTTACGATTCCCGTGCAATACGGTCATGGACAACCCTGTACCTCTTTAAAATGTAAGGGGAAGCCATACGTATGGCCATCAACCCACGGGGCAGTGTCTATGATTGCAAGTATGTTTCATATGTGCAATGTGTTGGTCCTCGGGCTTTTGGGAGGTTGTCTATCAACCCTTGACATCAGCGGCCATACTAATACTAAACAACACACAAGCAGCTGAATTCTTTGTGCATTGTCAAGCACAATCGAAACTCGCAAAGGCAATCTACGCAGCTTTACCATGCAGAAATGGCCAGCATCCCGAGCTCATGCATGAGGTCCTGGTGTCGCATTTCAAGTACAGACACACATTTATTCAGGAGCATATTCACTACGACAAGGGGCATGTACTGTTTGGCTGTTCGACCGAAAGGCAGAATACAGCTGCACGCTCTTCTGGCTTTTCCTGATGCAGTGGGCTTTGACCTCAGCCAGAAGTGCTTTGCTGGCGAGTTGTCAGCCGGCGACGTCATTAACGTGGAACCTGACGTTCGGGGGTCCCTTTAAATGGAAAATGGTCCAAACCAGGAACCCCCGGTCAGGTTGCATGCTAATTGGTGGGAGGGTACCAGGAACAATCAACACGCTCCTTTGTGCCAGGAAGTCGTTTGTGAACCGTTTGTGTGGCTTTTTCGCAAAGGAGCACCTTTGACATATCGAAACAATGACATATAGTGTTGCTGAAGCGGAAATCAATCATGCGATTGCATATGGTTTGTATTTGAAAGAAGCACAGCATGATACATACATACATACATACATACATACATACATACATACGTACGTACGTACGTACATACGTACATACGTGCATACGTACATACGTACATGCGTACATACATACATACATACATACATACATACATACATACATACATACATACATACATACATACATACATACATACATACATACGTACATACGTACATACGTACATACGTACATACGTACATACGTACATACGTACATACGTACATACGTACATACGTACATACGTTCATACGTTCATACGTGAATACATGCATGCATGCATGCATGCATGCATGCATGCATTCATGCCACACACATACACACACGCGCACATACACGCATGCACGCATACACATGCATGCACATCCATGCACATGCATGCACATACGTACACATACATGCATACATCCACACATATTATATACACATAACATCCAGACATACATACACATATACATACATATATACATGCATACTTACACAGATACAGACAGACAGACAGATGGACGGACAGACAGCCAGAGACAGACAGAGACAGCCAGAGACAGACAGAGACAGACAGAGACAGACAGAGACAGACACCTTCATATATACACACACACCCATACATACATGATTGTATGCATACGTAAACACATACATACATACATACATACATACAGACAGACATACATACATACATACATACATACTTACACCTACCTACCTAACTACCTACTTGCCTACTTACTCGCATACAACATACATACGTATGTATGCGCGTACACGCATAGGTGTGTCTATGTCTCTTCTCGTGGGTATGTTCTTGAGTACAGTTATACAATTGCCTGCTTGTGCATACAAGATATACGGTAGGATGCAGTACGCTTCCGCATGGTGGGATGCGGTGTGGAACTTTGTAGCACACGTGACACGCGCGCTGACTTGATCAAACTATCAGCTATGGACGCGGCTTCATGTTTTCGCGCTGACCCTATACAGGTTCAGTTCGTAAGTATGTGCCTATTGCTAACTTACAATGGTCCGTTTTCTTGGCATACAGCTGATTGATTTGGGACGGCAATCTGATGAGGTATTTGGCTGTGGCTCAAAACCAATGTACCATGTTGGGGTAGGTGCACCACCCATTTTAGAACCTATTTTAGTGGTTGGATTGGGATGTTCACTGGGGGTACGATTTGGACTTGACCCATGGCCATTTGTTTGTGTTGATTCTTTGCTTGGCAGAATTGTCCAGTGGCTCAAATAAATGTACCAACATCACACCTTGGTAAATGGAACCAAAGACTAAACCCGCGTAACCCTTGCTCTTGAACTTTGAGCCACAGCCATATTAGTCAACCCCTGTTTATTCATAGGGGGTGTCCGTGTCTCGTGAAATGTGGTTGGAATCAGACCACTTTTGGAGGGGTTTTCCTCCACCCCCATATTCATATAAACGGGTGGATTCATACGCCGCCAATTCTCCAGCGGCCAGCTCAGCAGCTCAGCTCCCAGGTAGAGAAGCCGATCAGCATCCCCATCTCCCTGTATTCCAATTTTGTGGTGGAGGACTCGTGACTCGTTTCGCATCCGTGAAGCCAAGGTTTGAGTTGAGGCTGGTCAATCGGATCCTACCTATGGATCAGTGCTTTCAAACAAATCAGGTCACAAACAGCAACAGGTGTCGCAGTAGTGTGCTGCTTACTGTGAAGCGTGGTTGACTCGAACGGCAGATGACCATGGACGTGCTGGCTGTTTCTGTTTCTGACTTGCGCCATGTATTCTTGAAGGTTGCACACAGACTTGTTGTTTTTCATGTCTGACTTGCGTCACGTCTCATTGCAAATTGCGATTGATCTAAACACGTGCAATGGTGTGCCTGCCTGCAGGATCATCCACCTGTACAAGAAATGAGAAATCACGATTAGGGAAACACACATGCAACAGAGGTTCTGCGACTTCAGCATGACGGGGTTGGCAAGACACGGTAACGCTGGATCACAGCATGGCTAGTACAAAGGGATCCGCTGCTGATCACGAGGGTTATGGCGGAGAACACTTGAAGACAACTGTGCGGTGAGTTAGAGTGTTTGGAAGATGAACGCCACGCGAATCATAAGGGTGAACTTGTTGCTGATCTTGCCCGTTCTCTACTTTTGAACTCAGCTGTACTGATGAACCAAGCCTGTGTGTGTGTGCAGGATAGCCGCCACCAACAATATCCAATAATCCATGCGAATAGATAACATGTATAAATTGGAATCCAGGCGTGCAAACCATGGCAAATTCATGATGAAGGGACTCATCGGGAGGACAACATATTGCAGGCTGTTGGAAGACTCCGATCGATTTGGAAGATTTGATTCTGATGCAGAACTGGCAGAGTATGTTGCACCACAAAGCCGATCGATCTACCTTCGTAGCTGAGCTGGAGTTGCTTGTTTGAGACTGAGAGGAGAGGCACGGCTTCAACAAGATGACTGTGCCTTGTCTCAACTGCAGAGGCAACCCACGCTGCAATCCTGTCAAAGAAAGGAGAAGGACGCACCCGTTTTGCTTTACACAGTTGCTGATATGGCCCTTTGAAAACACGAGATCCTCACTCGTAGGTCACCATGTTGAGCGAAGAGAGGAACCGGTCTCGCTTTTGGCTTTTAGCCATGCTCTCGCCGTGTTGGGCAGCTTGCTGTGACATTGCAATCTCCGCTTATGGGCTCGGCGGCTTAAGATGTTTTTGGCTTTTGAGACTTGCCATGTCGGCCTTCGGAAGCCCCCGCTTTATTGCACGATTTCAGGATGTGCTTTGCCCTCCGCTTCATGCTTGCAAATTGCACGCTAATTATATATAGTGTGCAATTTGTACTCATGCCATGTTGGAGTTGCCACCATGTCCCGTTGGTTTCTGGTAGTCGTTCAGCCGGCATGAACTATCAAGTACCTTCCCTCCTAATTTGCGCTCAGATTGTCAGATGGGGTGTTTATAGGATTTTCTTTGGTTGGTCGTTTCACCGACGAAAGGGTTTGTTTTGTTTCGGCTTCAGGTGAAGCTCTTTTTCACAGATCTCATCAAAAGCGAGCTCTTGCGGCCTGACTGCAAGTGTGGTACGGGTTTTCGGGGGCTATTTGGTCGAAGCTCGTCCACCCTCGTCAATTTCTATTTGTTTTCTCAAGAGTGTGTTTCACAGTCATCCTATGAGCATTTGGCATACCATGACATAAACAGTTGACCTGCGCCAGTGCAGGTAATTGGTTCACCGTGAGCGACTGCCTTTGTTTGCAGAAGACTACAGTCTAGGCCGGGCGGACAGATATTCCTTTTTTTTAATATACTGAAGTAGGTGCAAGACAAGCTAGGAACACCCTTAACCGAGGTAGGGCAATATAGGTTGAGATCACTACGTACGGCGTTGGACAATAAGGGTGGAGAACGAGGTGGGAACACCCGACCGTTCAATGTAGAAACAAGCTGCGGTAGGTGAGACACCACTGATTTCGTCCAATCCACTGAGGGCCTATGTCTTCGGCCTCTTATTAGTGTCAAGAGCTCAGGGTGCGGGTGCGAGCGGAGAAGCCATCGAGAAGCGCTGCAGGTTATCAACCGAACGAACAAATATTGAGCTTTCAGCAGTAGCATTTGCCCATCAAGACTGCAAGGTTGGGCTGTTTGTATCAAAATTGTGTATTTTGACGTTGCTTAGCACAATTAAACAAGGGAAGCTCGCATAGTGTGGGAAGAGTTCCTGCTGAGCGGTTACGTGCGTTTGAAAGCGTGGACCATGCTGCATGAGAACGAGGTACGATGAAGCAGAAGCGTTGGGCCATCAAGTTGTGTACCTTTGCTGTCACGCAGAAGCTAGACTCAGGTTGCGCCACAGCCATGAGCTTCAACTCCAGGGAGTGGTCCTAGGGCGATCAAGCAGAGAGAAAAAATTAGCCGGCTACAAGGTTACCCTCCAGCTTCTGGTGATGTCTTACAATGCGTGTTATTGTTCTACATATATATATATATATGCACATTTGTATATATGGGCACTGTGACTGAACAAATTAAAGCTGACTCCAATATATATATATATATATATGTAGCTAGACATATGTCTATATATGTATATACTTGTCAACACTCTGAGCGCAGCAGAACAGCCAGAAGCAACGCGCCAGCTGAAATGATGCAAGCACATTCCGTGTCGTTGCGGCTTTGGGACTTGAGGAAGGATCCCCACACCCTGCCATCTTCGCGCGTCGCAATCGGCTCGAAGCGGTAAAGCAGACCTAGGAATGCTCCTGTGGGAAACGAGCCGATGGATTGTGGATTCACATCCTCTTGGTTTGTTCAGGGAACCCCAAGTCAAAGCAGATGTTCTGGGGTTGCACATGCTATATCTCACCTGAACCTAAGCCCTCCAGCTCCAGGCCAATGCTGATTTGGATTGTGCGGTATTTCGGAGAAGGCCGGGACCTTTGCAAATTGATACAGATTTGTGCAGAGATGTTCTTGACGTCTCTCAGGCCAGTGGGCTGAAACATAGGAGCTGAACATATCCGTGCCTGACTGGACCCGTCTTGGGCCTATGAAGCCTTCACGCAGGCTTCTACTTGTACCTTTGGGGTGCGGTGCAATGCCTTATGCCGGAGCCCGAGAGGAAAAGTTCAAAGTTCAAAGCAGAACCACAATGTTGATGGCGATGTTTCTCTCTCTTGCTTAAGAATGCAGGTACACTGCCACTGGCTGAATGTATCGTTTCTGTCAGGGCTTGCGTACCCTGATATCAGATGATGCAGACTAAGCAGGCGACACGAGCGCAGCGCACACAGCAACACGCAGCAGGGCACATGCATACGGGTGCGAAACAAGTAGCTCGTCCAAGAGCGTGTGTCGGTTTGCTTGCAACACTGACACTTTGCCTCTACACGGCTGTGGGTCAAAATTGCACCACCAGATGACCGCAGGTTTGAGTCTCTTCGATTTACCAGTGGCGGTCATTTCGGGTTCCTATTTTTGACCCACAGACCCAGAGCGCCACATGGCCGGTAACGGTTCCACGTGTTGAGACTGGCCTTCATGTGGATTTACCCCAACCTCATCCAGCCGCTCTTCAACGAGTTCCGGCAGCTTCAGGTGCGGAGCCCCAAGGGGCAGGGCCATGCTTACCAGACCAACGGTTTGATGACAGGTTGTGGTTAAGGGGACAGGGTTCAGTTTCATCCTGTTTCGTTTGTATCGAGCCAGCAGATTGGGGAATTGTGCATGATCGCATTGACAAAAGAAGCAGAAGCCAGGCAATCAAAACTTGGCCTTTGTGCAGATGATTAGTTTCAATCAAAGAGACCAGTTGTGTGGTTCGGTTTAGCAACTTTAATGTGAGTAACTATAGCGCCAAATTCAGATACCCTGCATTAAAGAGGCTAGTTGATAAAGTGGCATTTGTGATAGTGCCTGGACATGAGTAGGCTCTGCCTTATTGTCAGCTGTTCACTATGCCCGCTTGAAGAGCCGCTTTCTCCCAGAGGTACAGCTCTTCAAGCTTGTTGTGCGGGTTGCCAGCCCCGGCTCATTGGACCCTCAAAAGAGATCCAAGCCGTCGGAAGGAGGCTCCAATGCTCGCATCGCCATATGCATGGCAGTGGACCTTTCGGCCTTTGTGAATTGGAAATCACCGACGGCACATTTGGGATGAGCACATGCCTAGGATGCCGACCTCAAGGCAAAGATCGAAGCCTTAGCTGCGGAGGCTCGCAATTGCAAGGAATGTGTCAAAAGATGTGCGAGTACGAAACGCACACATACAAACAAAAAGCAGCTTTTCGTTGACATTGATTCAACGACAACACGATTCTACTCAGAACAGTACCTCCATGCTCGCATGACGGTTATGTATTGTATTGATATTACTGAGGATGGCAAGAGTGTGTTAATGCAGGTGTAATGCCAGGATACGTCAGAAGGCCAGCCATGTTGGCAAGGTAGAGAGCCCTTTCACATGTAAATGACTCGGTGCATGCCCCCTTTTGGATCTGTAGAGAGTACAAATAGATCAAAATAGCATAAATGTGTGTGTGTGGGTATGGGTGTGGGTAAGGGTGTTTGTAGGCAGGTTTGCGCCGAATTACCGGCGAGTGGGCGGGTGGCTGAGCAGACTTCTTTTTTGTGTGTCTACATTATGTTTGTGTTTGTTATGTTTGCTTTGCATGGCTTTGAGTTCGTGTGTCTGTGCGTTGATTTCGCTTGGTAAGCTTTATATATATACATATATTTCAAAGCCTGCCTGGCTTTGCCTGCTTGTTAGCTAGTTAGCTTGCGCATGTTTTGCTCCCTGCGAATGGGACCTTGGGGTCAGGTGAATTTCCCGTTGACCAAGCTCTTCGAGATCGATGGGTCGAAGCGATCCGGCCATAGCAACGCCTACTTCTTCGGTTTCTGGAAGTGTCCTGGCAACAGGCAAAGAGCCAAGATGAAGCTGCAGCTGACTCGGTTCTTGTGGGCTCTTAGGATAGCAAGGAAGTGTGTTGCTCCCTCATCATTTCAGATTTGAACTATCGATGGTCACATTCACAGCAATCCACAGTTAGATAACCCCGATGGATGACGTCAGGCAAGGTCATCATGTGCAATGATAGACAAGTTGCTGAACGTGCTCCAAAGAATTGTGTGGGGATCGGCTTGTTAGTTTTCTGTTTTGATGGGTCGAATACACCATTCCATTGCAACATTGCATAACAAGTTCAGATCCGCTGCTTTATCCACCATTTGGGCAAATGCTGGGCCGGAGTGTTCCCTTTTCATGCAAGCCATTTGTTTGGAGATGTGTTTGAGGATTGATTCCCTGATGGTTTCAGGATTGTCCGCCGTTTGCTCTGAAAGACTCAGAAGTGTGTTCTTTTCAGAGCTCGAAATAAAGAGGGTTTGTTTACATCTATGAGAGGGTAACACTATCGCAGGGTTGTTGCTTGATTGACGTTAGTGATTCGATTGTTGCATGTCCATTGTGTTCGTAGTCATAGATTGTTTCTGTCCACATGCAAAGAACCTCCGCCAGTGTCCTTGTGCAAATTAACTCATTGGTCAATCCAAAGTGTTTCAACAAATTCCAAGTGCACATCGCCCGCATACGGCTGGTGCAACAGGAGTGCTAGTTGCAGGAAAAAATGACCTGGAGATTGCTGGCCCCATCCTGAACTGCTTGTTATTGGATGGAGGCTGCGATGCGTTTGTGCAACATGACAGGCCGTGGCTTCTTCCCGCGTCTGGCATGTTTCATGCTCATCCTGTGTGCAGTACACCTCTCTGTTGCACACGTTCGCACATCATAGTGCGACTCCATCCAACACAAGGCGATGCACTTGAGAACAACGACACTCTTGACAGTGGCCCTGGGAGCAATATGAGTTGCCGGCTGAGCCGTGTAGGTACAAGCGCATTGTTCTCTACGATACCTTGCCGGGCACCTGGATCTATGGACCATAGATTTGGGGTAAATGAGTGAAACTGGAGCCACCAGACGCAAGGAACGAACTGCGAGCATGGTGTTTCAGAAATAACTACTAGTCAAGGTTTGAATAGATATTCCTCTCAGTGCAGGAGATCCATAAAACTGCCTTGTGAGCAACACTTTACCAGGTAGCTGTATTACCCCTAATGGCGTTTGGTCCGTCACAGCTGTCGCGCTTATTTACCACACCACTTTTGCAACTTCCTGGAATTCTGAACCTACCCATTTGTGAAGTTCTGCTCTTTTCTCGATGGGAAATCCTGCTTGGAAGGTATTTTCATTCGCATGTTCGTGGCTGGTGTGCCAGCGGCAAGCACGTGAGCTGTTTCTTTTACGCGCAAATTGGGCGTTTCGAGTCTCGATGAATCGCTCCACGCTTTGAACATGCACAGCAACTGGCAGTTCTGGCAGTCTGTGGTTTGTCCACGGACATTGGCGGCTCCTTTGTCTGGGGAACACGAGCAATTGTTTCTGTGACTCAGGTGCTGTAAGTAGTTTTGTCCGTGGCTCATGTGTTGCTTCATGTGGTCATAAGAGGTTCTCCGCTGGGAAATGCACTTTGGCTGAGGGCGAGGCTTGGTGTTTGTGCAGGATGATAACATTACATTTGAAGTCAGATCGGTCGTTCAGGCAGAATGGTTTCTGGACAGGGATTGTCATCTTTGTTCTGATTCACAATCCGTGGATATATATATATATATTGGCAAGGCCACATTAACCTTGCAAATGAACAAGGTGGTAGTGGTTGTTTGGCCCCCGTCTGAGGGTAGTGCGGACGGGGTGCGACTGATAGATGCTTGCCAAGACTAGCCTTCAATCTTAATGACGATTCAACTCTTAAGCTTTAGCCCGAAGCCTAATTAATCTGTAAGCTTGCAACCTTAACCTCTCACCTCAACTTCTAACTCGAATCTTGAGCCATACCTTGCAGCCTTAAGACACCTTGACCCTACTAATTACAGGAGACTACACTCACTACAACGAGACTACAGAGGATCTACCGAAAACTGCCTACTAGCTCAAAAGAAATGCAGCTCCAAGATAAGCTAGGCTGACGACATTTGATAGCACTAGACCAGCTCAGAAAATGCACTACAGTCCAGGCACAGCAAGTTGGACGAGAGCCCGCGCAGCAAATTGCGCCAGCAAGCTTACGTGAGCAAACTTACCCGAGCAAACTCGCACGAGCACGCTGGCGCGAGCAAACAATTCTTTTCAGGTGGCGCGGTGGCACCAAGCCCACTCTGCAAATATGAGACCCCTTTCCCGGGATTGGCGGGTGGATGTGCGATAAACTGAAGCTTTCTGCAACTCTTAGCAGTACATGCGTGGAGAACGACCCTGCGCATTGAGAACGAAACACGCAACAACTTGCACCAAGCGACTGGCAGAGACATAGTTGCGAAGAGAGCTTGTGCAGAGAAGCTTACCCGGTACACTTGCATGCGCAGAGAAACCTGCACTGACAGCTTGCCAGAGAACTTGCATCGACAACTTGCGAAAAGCTTGCTGGGTAGACAAAAACTTGAGCGACATAGCGGAGAACTTGCGCGCGCGAGAGAAGTTTGAGCCGAGGACCTGGGCAAAGAAACTGAGAACTTGCGCAGATTTTGAGCCGATTGCCAGAGAACTTGCGGAGATCTTGAGAGAAACTTGCTCAGACACACTTGCTCAGGGATATCAGAGAAACTTGCGGAGTGAACTTGCGCAGAGAAAAGGCGCAGAGAACATGCTTCCCTGACTACGTGTGATGTTTTGGGCCCGGCTCTTCTAGCTTGTTTGTCTGTGTTTTCTTTTCGGGGGGCTTGCGGGCCCCTTGAAAGCATTATTGACTGGAAATCGGGGGGACGAGG